AACTTCACCATCACTGACTTCAGACCTGAACACAGTGGGAGTTATTACTGTGTTGCACAGAACACCAGAGGGCATCATTACTCCACCTTACAGCTGACTGTTGTATCAAGTAAGTTAAATCTGATTTGTCTCATATCTGATCCTGTAGTTGTGTGTTCTATTCATTTGGTTGAGTTTGGTTATGGCTCGTTTTAGTTCAGGCTTAGTTATTAGGATTTAAAAGTGCCACCCTCATTCATTTGATCACTTTTTTAGGAGCATGGAAATTAACAGCTGTCATAGTCCCTGCTATTCTTCTGGGTCTTATACTCTTATACTCGGTCATCCTGTGGATCATGTGAGTGGAACTTATGTGCCATTTATTGTATTGTCATTTCGCTAAGTTTGTAATTTCTTTAACACTTTCATTTAATCATTATCCCAACTAGAAAAAACAGATCCTCAAAGCAGCAGCAGCCTGAGCCTAGAGAGGAACTGGATACCAGTGAACAGGTGACAGGAAATATTACTTGCTTTAAAGTAAATGCTGCTGCTTTACTTTCTGCAAAAAGTTTTCTGGAAAACCTTGTGTGGAATAGTTTTAAGTTCTAAGACGTAAAATAGAACTTATGGTAAAATAAGCTTATATGAGATCTGTAAACATATATATGTCTGCTTCCAGAGTGCTTGGTTGCTAGTTACCATTTTTCATTCCTTCCACTTTCCCACACTGTCAAGCTCATTGCTGACATCACAGGTCTAGTCAAAGTATCTCTCTGGTTGCTTTCTTCCAGCCAATTACCATCCACTCCATGTTTCTTAAAATCTCACTGCTAATCTGTCATTCTCCCTTGCAGACTCCTTCGTGCAACCCACCTCCTCCCCATCTCTGCCTCTCCCAAGTTACTCAGAGCTCCAGTCAAGCTTGCATCTTCATCACCACCACCAGCCTCTAGACTCTGGAGGGTCCTGCCTAATTCCTGTCACCGCTGGGAATCTGTTCAGCCTTGACCGGCCATCAGAGTCCAGTCACCAGATTGCTTGAAGGAATTCTGTTCATGAATAAATAGTGTTCAGTTCATCCTAACGATCTCTCCTCATTGACATTCCATTCCCTTTCTCACATTTCAATATAACTCCACAAAGTGTGTCAGTCTTGCAACTAATAGACTGCAGACAAGAATAAAAAGCCAAACTCAACTGTCCTGCACAGTTGAGAAAAATATATCAGCTTACACACAATATTTTAACACAAATGTGACAATAATTAAACCTCACGGAGAGCACATGTCAGGCTCAAACAGTAGTGAGCAAATTTAGAATGAAATCCTATATAAATATATATGTAAATTAGGGATGCACCGATACCGATAGTGGTATCGGGTATCGGGCCGATACTGTAAAATGTGTGTGTACTCATACTCGTAAAAGTTAACCGATACCATGAACCGATAC